GTAAATTTATCCTAACTATTTTGTATATATAAATACAAAATGATCTTTCCTTTGTATCTTTTTTCAATTTTAATTTTAATTTTAATTTTTTTTGTCCTGTCAGAGCTGAATATTCTATTCAGCTAAACAATCTAACACTATCTAGCACTTCAAAATATTACTGGATTATCCTCAGAAGTTATTGACATGAGCCTTTTATAGCTCAACGTATTAATATGGATTTACTTTATATACCTTGTTTTTATACTTTTCTGCTGGATGGTTAAGAACAAGATATAGCAAGACCTATATAACAAGAAATGTAACTTTTGTATCTGATAAGGTTAGCCAAGTGCTCTCAGGATTTATCCTGTAGCCCTGTACCACCTTTTGTACATCCTTTTGTCCATGTCTGACATGAGGATGAGTCACTGTCATTGCTTGACTAATTTGCTGTCTGTGAAAGCTTGAGAAAATGTTTTTTCTCTCCATGTGACTCTCCCCAGGCTCACTTTAGATCATCGAACACATTTCTCTGTGGCTCCATAATCTTCTTGATCAGAAAATTTGGAGCACAACTGAGTTACATGTTGTTACAGTACAAGTTCTCCTATGTCCCGAGTCTTCACTGACATTGAAAGGCTAGGGCCAAAATGTTGGCTAACCAAGCAGCCCTTCCTTTTCTCCAATTTTGATCTGCTAAGTTAGGTTATTAACCCTCCAGAAGAGAAGCTAATTATTAATCTGCAATATATGCAGTTCAGTTTACCCTATCTGTCGAAATATCAAACATTTTGATATATCATGGAACAGGTATTTTCCATCAGATATTGATATGTTGAACTTTAAGTCCTTACAGAATATGAAGGAACAATAATTATATAAAAGTAAAAATAAGCATTTACATATTTTTACAAAGAAATTTAGAAACTTAATCATATACGGAATTGTAAGTCCTTATATTAGAGAGACAATACGATATTTATAGATGTGGGTCTGGTTTATTTCACTAATAAGTATATCTTCAAGGGGTATCTACTTAAATATAAAGGCTTCAAGTTTATCATTCTTTATAGTTGAGTAATACTCCATTATATAAAAGTGCCACATCTTTTTCAACCATTCCACATGTGACGGGCACTTTGGTTGTTTCCAAGATCTGGCCATCACAAATTGTGCTGCTATAACCAACTTTCTATAGATGTGCTACCTAATAAAGCTATCCTTTTTTTCCTGAATTTTGAAGATAGATCATATTTAAAAGCTAAAGTTAAATTTACACGGTATTGAACTAGCAATTATAACATTAATTTCTTATTTACTCAGAGTTGTGAAATTTTAAATTAAACTTAACTATTTGCTTTTACTGTGCTGTTAGGGAAAATTAATCACCAAGTCCATAGATTGTTCTTCTACATTTCTCTCGCTTCCTACCAAGTTTTCTATTACTAACAGTGACCTCTACACAGTGTTTCTGCCAGACTAAATTTGATACTAATTCCAGTTTTTTCCAGCATTGAGTTACTTAAATACTTTCTTCGCGAATTTTTCTCTTGGAAAATGGCTTGAACACAGAAATCTTTGTTTTGTACTGATGGGTTTTGTTTTCCCAGTGCCAAAATATATTTTTCTATTGTTTTTGCTTTCAATATTCTAAGGTAGGCAAACCATACACTGGCTACACTGAATGGAATGCTTTTTTTTTTTCTTTTTTTCCTAAATGTCACAAACCTACTCAATTTATTCCACCCACCACAGAACATCCCTGTTGAAACTTTGTATTTTTGAAATAGCCAGTCTCTTTCATAACAAATGGTATAATCTCTTACCTGGTAAGAAATATCTTTTCTTGACTTCCAATAATGTTCTGTTTTTACTTATTTTAATCTACCTCAACAACATTATTTGTGGATTCTCATGATTTTGAGTTTGGAAAGCCACATATGATAGTATGAATCATTAATCAGTTGTTATAAACACTTTAAAAATGGAATTTCTTGAATATTGTAAAATTTTGTTTACTTTTTAAAACATCTCTCTGCAAAGTTATTTCCAATAGCCAGCTAGCGCATATCATTTTAATAACTGATAATTGAACTGATCCATGAAGAAAGAAGACAATTTATTCATTTGGTAAATTCTAGTCTCTTTTAGAGGTTGGAGGACGTGCCAGGTCCTTTATAATCTTCATTTCTATTCATTTTAGGTGGAGCTCTATGTATGTATACAGGGTGCTGCCAGTCATTCACTAGGTAGATGCAGTCTCATATTTTCCTTAAATCATCAATGATTTTGAACTCACTGTTTTCTCAACTTGGGCCTTAAAAATTATGACCAAATATTTATTCTCTAATTAACCTAAAAGTGAACTATATTTCATTGCTTATAGGATGGTATGGGAAATCTGAGAGTCACCAAGAAGGGAATCCGACTTGAAGGTATATCTGAGTTTCTACTTCCATTGTATGTGAAAGAAATTCATTCCCGAAAGGTATGTGATACTGGCTTTGGCTTCCTGTAAAAGATACTTGGAGCTTATGTTTTAGCTTGAAGTGGGAGGATGGAGTCCCATATCTTCTATGTGTTTAGTGTTCTTAAGATAAAGACCTACTTGAGGAAATTAAAACAATGAAATAATTGAAAAGCAGCAAACTAAACTTCAGGATGGCTTTTTATTAGTCTATAAAATTTGCCCCACTGATTTCACTAGAAGATAAAATCACAGCTATGATCACCCCAAAGGGGCATATGATACTTCTTGATTTTTTTTTCCAAAAAGCTTTGACTAAATAAGGGGTTTCAATTTTATTA